GATGTGGATCCAACCACGCCCCCTGGATCTTGTGTTCTGCAGTGAGGGGCTACTGTAAATAAGAGCCTACCAAACTCATTGCTTTTTTTTCCCTTGTCAAATGTCTGTTGGAGGACCATGATTTTACACTGTCTAAATACCAGTCAGGTCATGCTGCCCTTTGAAATGGGAAAATCTCCACTGTTTACTTTTTATGATTTTATGACAAGCTCATGTGTTTTAATATCTCAGTTAATTCCACAGCCAAGGTGCTTATCTACAGATATTTTTGCTGCATGAATCATCTTGTGGGATACATTTCCTCCACTGTTCTTGTTTTTCCACTTCAGTTTGGTCACACCAGGGCGCCACCTGTCTGTGCTACTGTAAACCACAAACCCACCACTGTCATCTGGAGTTAACTTCAATCTCATCTCCCGTCGGCAGCTTTGGAGACTGCATTCAGATCCATTTTATTCCTAATCAACAAAGGTTGTATGTGGGCAGAGAACCAGGTCACTGTTGCTGAAATCGCATGTTAAAGTGATTAGGTTACATCAGCGCTGTGTGTTTTGGACTCTCTAAAGAGTGTGGTGGGATTTTTCCAGCTCGCCAGTGGTCGGGAGGATGTCTGTGTGTTACAGTCTGTCTGCACCTACTCTGGGTGCTTTGAAAACCGCAGGCATGTTTTGCTCCCTGTGTCTCTGATGGTTTAGTAATATAGAGTTCATTCAGAATTTTCCAGATTATCTCATTGCACCAGAAAGGGTATAGTTGCATAAAATTGTAACTGCATGTGAAGGTCTGAGGATGTCTGGAGATTTGCCTGGTAGCTGCCAGTTTGAAGGTAGGCCTGTCATAATCATAACATTTTTGACAGTGATTAATTGTTGATTATAATTAATGATAATGATTTTTTTTTTCATGAATTCTGAGAAGATTAAGATGTTAGTCACAATAACTTACATTTTTATGCCATAATGTGAATAAATGGCATAAAAATTTAAAATGTATTAAAATTTTAATATTTCAACTGATTTGGAGTGCTCCTATAAGACAAATAAAATTAAACAACATAATTAAAAAAAAAACATAATTTCGTAGTTTGTTTTTGTATTTGTTTAAAATGTCTTTTTACTGTGATATATTAATGTAATTTAACATTATTTAGTTAAATAATATAATATAATATGTGACCCTGAACTACAAAACAAGTCATAAGTCAAACGAGTATATTTGGAGCAATAGCCAAAAAATACATTGTATGGGTCAAAATGACCGATTTTTGTTTTATGCCAAAAATCATTAGGATATTAAGTGAAGATCATGTTCCATGAAGATATTTTGTAAATTTCCCACCGTAAATATATCAAAACTTAATTTTTGATTAGTAATATGCATGGCTAAGGACTTAATTTGGACAACTTTCGAAAAGTGATTTTCTCAATATTTAGATTTTTTTGCACCCTCAGATTCCAGATTTTCAAATAGTTGTATCTCGGCCAAATATCGTCCTATCCTAACAAACCATACATCAATGGAAAGCTTATTTATTCAGTTCTCAGATCTTGATATATAAATCTCAATTTATAAAAATTGACCCTTATTGCTGTTTTTTTTGGTCACATATAATATAATATTTAATAATAATCATATAATAATATTAAATAATAATAATCATATAATACATCAAATAATCTGACCAGACATTTCTGTAATAATTATGACAGGCCTACTTTTATTTAGGAGATCTCTTGTGATGTTATGCGCTTGCTTTTTTCTACAAGTTTCTGTCTTGATTTTAAAAGTATGCTTATTGGATGTTTATGCAGTCAATTTTTTCTTAATGCAGTGCTTGATGTTTTGCAGTGGTCTTGGAATTTCTACTAACACGTAATGTGGGTACAGTGTAAATTTAATCAGTGTAAACTGTCCCTTTCTTTTCATGGTAAACTTAGTTGCTTGGTGCACTTTTTACATTTTAAAATGAATAAAGTGCTCAGATAAGAAAAACTATGAAATGTTAGCGTTCAGCAAAAACATTTACTCTGGCGTTTATTGATGAATTAACCCCTGGGTGGTTGCTTTGTTTTGGTGTATTAGAACACTGTTCCTTAACGACAGAGCAGTGATTGGACGTGCAGCAGGGTCGGGGCGGGGCTTAAAAGCAGGACAGTCCAATCATCATCTGCGGCACTCTATTTAAGGATCTTATGAGCTGCTCAAACTAATTATTACCATCTGCACTTTCAAGAGAAGCTGTTCTGTCATCCGTGGCCTAATTTCAGTGTGTTTATGTGTACAGCAGGAGTCTGATGAACTGCTTTTACTGTGGGCAAAGTGGATTTCAGCCAGCTGTAGTTTCCCTCTTCGTGTTTGCTTTGGACAGTACCGGTTGTTCACATAGGAATAATTTATTTCCAAACTTGATCCCCTCTACTTTACGAGCCACAATTTAGGATTGTGTAGGAATCAATCTAGTAATAAATCTGAGGTTATGATGTCAGCCTTTGATGGAGTTTACGGCACTTTTCCAGCTCACCGCTCGACTGCAGCCGGGAAAAGGAGAAAATCTCAGAACTCAATACTCAACTTTTTCCAGAAATCTGCTTTCCTCTCTCCCCCCCTTTTACAGTCACAGTGAGTTTTTGAGTGCTGGTGGTAGCCTAATGTTAAAGAAATCACCCAGAAATTAATTTTTGCAATGAAACCCAAACAATCTGAAAGATCTTTATGCAGCTCTTTAACATTAAAAGACAGTTCATAGTGACTAGCTCCAAAATGAACATTAAAGAAGTTCATACTATTCATATCTTCTGAACCCATACAAAATCTCTGAGGGACAGACTGGCATATTTTGTGGCATAATTACGTCCATCCATTTTCTATACCCAGTTATGTAGGGTCATGGAAGAGTTCTAGAGTAAAAATAAAGTTATTCCCTGAAGTTAATTGTTATACTATTTGCTATTTATTTTATTTGTAAAATATCAGCCATATCACCCTGCAGCCCAAGACTGGTTGCCCACTGAAGCTAAGCAGGGTTGAGCCTGGTCAGTACCTGGATGGGAGACCTCCTGGGAAAACTAGGTTGCTGCTGGAAGAGGTGTTAGTGAGGCCAGCAGGGGGTGCTCACCCTGTGGTCTGTGTGGGTCCTAATGCCCCAGTGTAGTGATGGGGACACTATACTGACAAAAAGCACCATCCTTCGGATGAGATGTTAAACCGAGGTCCTGACTCTCTGTGGTCATTAAAAATCCCAGGATGTCTTTCGAAAAGAGTAGAGGTGTGACCTCGGCATCCTGGCCAAACTCGCCCATTGGCCTCTGATCATCATGGCCTCCTGACTATCCCCATATCTACTGATTGGCTTCATCACTCTGTCTCCTCTCCACCAATGAGCTGGTGTGTGGTGGGCGTTCTGGCGCAAAATGGCTGCCGTCGCATCATTCAGGTGGATGCTGCACACTGGTGGTGGATGAGGAGATACCCCCTGACAATGTAAAGCGCTATGAGTGCCCAGAAAAGCGCTATATAAATGTAATGAATTAAATTGTAATAACTGCTTCATTTGTAGTATTTTATAAGATTTGGAGCTTCACAGTCAAGGTCAGTTGTTCAAGAGCTGCTTAAAGATTCTTCAAAAATTACATGATTGTTGGCTCCGATAGCTTCATGGGCAGCGTGCTGACATATAGCGCCATAGTGCTTCGGGCATCCCGAGTTCGAGTCCTGGCTCGCAGATATTTCCCGATCCCGCCCCCCCCTGCAATTCGCTTCCTGTCTAGCTACTGTCCTATCAAAATAAAGGCTATTAGTATTAATAAACTATTCCTTTAAAGGGGACCTATTATGCTCTTTTCTTACCACAGCCGCCTGCGAGCTTCAGTGTAAATATTGCTCAAAATCAAATCAATTTGAGCGCGATTTAAACCCTGATGATTGTAACTACTCTAAGCTCATCTGCCTTGGGAAAGCTAGCATGTCTCCGACATAGTGATACCACTCGTTGCCTTCTCTAGTGCAGCTCAACCAGGTCTCGTCCCATTCGTCGATATTTGTGATATCACAAATCCCAGAAAATATGCGTTGTAGTCCAAACGAGTCGTTCATTGTAGTTTTTGAAAAGTGATTTCTGCTAAATAAAATATCTCCTTTTGAATTGGACTTTGAGCTTTGCAACTTCGCAGATCTTTTTTATGCTCAAACAGCAACATTACAGACTTACTAAAGTTGAAAAAGTGAAACAGCATAATAGGACCCCTTTAAGAATCAAGTCGGATTATTCTTGAGTCATTCTTGGCTTCGGTCTAAAGTGTAAAGAAGCGCTCCAGGGAATTTAACCCCAGTGATCAGCAGTATAAGATGCTTTCAATAGAAAGAATCTGCTAAACGACGTGCTGAAGGTCTGAGCCAGGTGTGAAGCGCTCAATCTGTCAGCTCTCAGCTGTGTGTGCAGGAATGTGAAATTATGTCCCTCTTTATCGGATGTCGTCATAAAATTAGGCATCCCATCTTTAACCCCTAACCCTGTCCAAGAGCTGAATGGAGCTGTTTGTTGAAGTTAGCTAGCAGTTGTTGTTTATTCAGGTTGTATTCGTGCTTTTGTTGCAACTGCATATTATGTTATCGTCATCTGTGTTGTGTATGAGGTTGTGTTGTTGTTGTAATTTAGTGGAGCTTGCTAAGGAAAGCAACACAGTTCATACTTAGTTTGGTTTGTAAATTATACATAAGTGATACCTCAAGTGATCACCTAAAATTGCTTTTCTAGCTCTTAAGATGTATAATGTTGGCTGGATGTTGTAAATCAAATCCTGTAAACTTGGAGGAGGGAGTTGTATCTAGAGACCAGAATGCCACATATTGACACGAGGCTAGCAACACACTAATAACCAGATTGTGTTTAAACCTGGAAGTTTAAATCTAGTTAACCAGAAAGTGAAATTAGTGTACATAATAATAATAATAATAATGTATTTTATATAATTTTCCAGGCATACGCTCGCTTTGCTGGAGCTCCGCTCAAAATTCACAAGATTTCTAACCCCTGGAGAAGCCCCACAGGTAAGCAGGCAAAGTTTTAACAATCTGTTTCTTGGCAAACACTCCACATTCATTAAGACGAACATTTAGCGTGTGCTTTAACTGAAGCACGCAGGCCTCTTCCTCTTTCCTGCCGAGCTGCTGATAACTTGCATCTGTATGTTTTCTCTTTCCACATTCTTGTCTGTCTCCGTTATTATTTTCCTTGGCTCCTGAATTCTTCCAAATTTCAGTATTATTCCATATTGAAGACCAATGTCCCTTCAGCAGTTTTATGTTGGGTAGACCCTTTGACTTTGCAGGAACAGCTTATGCACTACATTCACTTCATTCTTTACAAAGAAATGAAATAAAAATAAAGACCATCTAAAGTATAACAGTTAATTAGCCTTATCACATTATAGCGAACGTATGATTGATACATTTTACAGCTACTAAAACCTTAATAAATAAACAAATTACTTGGTTCTTTAATTTGTTTATTTAAAAGATCATTTTATTTATTTGTATTTTTGGAAAAATGAATACTTATTCAGCAATTATGAATTAAATTGATCAGAAGTTACAGTAAAGACTTAGTATAAAAATTCTATTTCAAATAAATGCTATTCTTTCGCACTATATATTTATCAAAGAATGAAAAAAATAAATAAAAATGTATCACGCATTCCAAAATATATTAATCAGCACAACTGTTCATTATGTAATATTATGTTTTCTAGAGATCACGCATTTCTATTTTTGATGTCCAGAGTGATAGTCGAATGTTTAAATGGACTGCGTCATTGATTATCTTTATAGGCCTATAGAAAATAAATGTTTTTTTTTAATGTCTTCACTGAAGGTTCACTTCCTGCTCTCAGGACCAAAGATGAAGGCAGCTGCTCCCAACCCAGTCAGATCATCACTCAGTTGAGGAAACAGGTGATTATCTCGTTCCTCGCTGCTGTCATGGTCACGTTTTGCTTTTCTTCAAGCATTACACAAGTGTCCCTGTATATTTCACTCTTTATTTCGGGTTCATTCATTTGAGAACCGCAGCCTTTCCAGTGATGCCTGCTGCCATTATAAAGGCTCCCCTTATTTTCTCATTAATCATGTTTGATTGCACAATGAAGGTACCCATTAAATTTGAATGGAATGAGACACAATAAACATGTGTTTTTAGGAAAGGTTTTAATTAGGTGCATAATTAAAACCCTTCCTAGAAACACGTTTATAGTTTCTCATTCTACCAGCAGTAGTGCTGTTCTACCCAGAGCTGCTTACAGAGTCAGGAGCATACACAGATCAGATCAATGCTTGCAGATTTATTCACAAAACACTACACAACTGGAAATAAGTTAGCATTTTTGGACTTCCGGTTTCTTAGTCCCAAAGTCAATGGGTTTTTTTTTAATAGGTTTGATTAAATGCCTGAAATAATGTCTGTGATGGACTGAAGCAACTTTTATGTAATGCTACATTGTGATGATTTTAAGCTTTTACATGTCTTGGAAAAAGACTCTTGCTGACAAGTGGCTAAATGGGAATACAGAGGTTGTCAGAAACAGGAAAGCTTGTAAACTGTTCTAACTCAGATGTTCCAACTTGTAGATTTGAAATAAAGATTAAAAGATTTGTCAAAAGCGATCATGGTGTAGTTTGTTTATAACAAACTTTACTTCTGCCTCTTGCATTCAAACAACAAAACAATGAACAAAATTTGTGACAATCTCAAACTTTTGCTGGTCACAGAGCTTATTTTCTGCAAGAATAAAAAAGCCAATGGAAAAATCTTATTGTCTGATGACAGAAAGTCTGGACTCCATAGCCGTTTTCATTGGTCAAGTACCGCCCAAGAGGCCATCTGACAGACATGTTAAGCAACCAGTCACAGTTTGATTTGTTCAGTGTCGTATAGTAATACTGGAAATTTGTGTTTCAGAAATACAATGCAGACAATGATCTCTCGGCCAAAGAGGGCGCAGACACTCTGGCCTTCATCTCACTGCTGGAAGAGCGACTGTTACCTGCGCTGGTGAGATTCAAACACTGGACCTTGAAGAGAAAATTTTAGTGGGTACATGCTCAAACTCTCATCTAACTCAGATCTACGCTTTATGGATCGATCCTAAAAACTATGTGGAGGTGACGCGCCGCTGGCATGGAGAGAATATGTCCTTCCCGCTCAACTTCTTCCTGCCGGGCCTCATGCAGAACAGGCAGCTTGAGCGACTCCGCCTGATCCGGGGAAACAGTTCGCTGGAGGCGGGAGAAGAGGCAGAGAAGGAGGTTGGTGGGGTTCTGAATATTGTGTTTGTTTTTGCTGTGCGATATGCATCAGATGGTGGGTGGGCTGTGTCTGTTGTGACACTAACACCTCCCTGAGACACCAGGGCGGCTGTTAGACTCCAGCCAGAGGCAACAGTGTTCTGGTCCCTGAAGAGGACACTGATAAACCAGCAGATGTGTGGAATCTGGGCTCAAACAGAGCAGAAGTTCCGTTCTGGCAGAGAATTCTATTTTAGATAGTTGCTAGTCTGATGCTCTGCTTGTTTATGACTCTGTGAGTCACAATGTGCATGCTTGTGAACTGTTCACTATGGCTGAGCAATATATTAAATGTTACGTTTGCGATGATGCTTTTAATGCAGTATGAAAGGAATAGTCCACCAAAAATGACCTTTCTGTCATCATTTACTCCCCCTTGTGTCTTTCCAAACCTGTATGACTTTCCTTTTTCTACAGAACATGAAAGAGCATATTTTAAAGAATGTTGTTAACCAAACAGTTTTGGACTTAATGTTTTTGTCCATACACTGAAAGTCAATGGGAACCAAACTGTTTGTTTACCAGCATTCTTCAAAATATCTTCTTTTGTGTTCTGCAGAAGAAAGAACGTCATACAGGTTTGGGAAGACATGAGGGGGAGAAACGGATGACATTTTAATTTTGGGTGGACTATCTCTTCACTAGCACATTCACACCAAGAAAGAAAACTATATTCGCTTCCACACCAATGCACGATGGTGTTCTGCACTTGTGTTATATCGTCTGCTGATTTAAATGCTCTTTAAAGTTGAGTTCTGATTGGCTCTTCAAAGGTGGATTCTGGTTTTATCATTCATCAGCTGTAAAAAAAAAATCGTTCTGAAAGTGATTTCAATAACGTTCCTTTGTGTCATTAAAGTTATAACTGTGGTGTGGTGTTTAAAAAAAAAAATGTTTTAGAAGAAATAAATGTTGGTAAAAATACTATCATACTATTATTATATAAATGTTGGTAATACTACTATTATAATATTTATATACTATACTATATGCTATTTAAATAATATACTAGTATACTGTTTTTTTAAATGCATTGGTATGTTGATCCATGCGAATAGAAATTATTAAATGTATTTCTTGTTCATGGTTATTTGGTGAGAAACATTTTAACTAATGTTTTTCTTCTTACATTTAATCCTTTTTAATCAAATCACTTCAGTGGCTGTTTGGATAAAACAAAGCTTCCTCTAACTGAAAAAAAAGTCGGTTACACTTTGCTTTAAGGTGTCCTTGTTACAGTGAAATTATACATTTAAGGACTGAGGAATATTAATTAACTACATGGTTAGGTTTGACTTAGGGTTACTTGCATGTAATTATGCATAATTTATTGTTATTATAATAGTAAGTGCATGTAACGTGTAACAGCGACACCTTAAAATAAAGTGTTACCAAAAAATGTTTTCCAAAGCAAATACACGAATATTGAGATATATAAGGCTAAATACTGAGATATAAAACAATGACTGATAAAAGTAAAACGAACATAAGAATCTATAATCTAGTTGTTTCTTCCACATCCTCTCAGTTGTTATTATTCTCTGTGACTCTCTCCATCTTTCCCTCCAGCTTTACCACGATGCTCTGGAGTGCCTCAATCTTCTCTCTCAGCGACTGGGATCGAACACATTTTTCTTTGGCGATTCGTAAGTGTTTTACACATCAAGGCTGACCTTTAAGCTTGACTCTCAGTTGATTATGGGTTAGGTTTAATATGCATTTGATGTCTTTGTGTGTGTGTGTGCGTTAAAGGCCCTCTTCTCTAGATGCATATGTCTTTGGTCATCTAGCTCCGCTTATTAAGATCCGACTGCCTAACTGCCGACTGCAGCAGAACTTGAAGAATCTGGACAACTTGAACACATTTTGCTGTAACATCCTGAGCTTGTACTTCCCCAGTGAGAGTAAAGGTGGGAGACCAACAACCACAATAAAGTGCTTGCAAAGAACAAAACATCCATTGTTCTGTCTGTAGAATAAGAGTCATTGAGTCCTCATGTTCGTGCCTGTTCTGTTTGCAGAGGGCGTCAATCGTCCGATGTCCAGCACACAGCAGGGGAGCGACTTTGACAACGAGCCATACAAGAGACGCAAGCAGCTGCTGTCAGTGCTGGTCGCAGTGGCAGCGATGCTGAGCTACGCTCTCCTCACCGGCATAGTAGCTATTGAGCATGTGCAGGAGGAGGAGCCTGTAGGCCCCGCCTCACTCAGAGGCCCCTCCCATGAGGAAGAGGATGAGTGAAAGTAGGACTTTTTAGTTGCACTAGGATGGTCATGCCTACATGGTGGAAGAAAACACAGGAACAACATATTGTTGGGGATTCATGTATTATTTATTCCTTGAGCTTTATTTGCTTGATAATCTTTGGTTTTATATCTTATTTTTTCCATGGAGCTGCACTCGTTGCTTTAATCTTTTGACTGAGTATATTCACCTGTGTTAGCTACAAATGCTAAGCTAAGTTTAGCTGAGAAAGCACTTAAAACTTCACCGTCGTCACCAACCTCAACGTTCATTGTGTGGACCAAAACATATATTACAGTTTTAAATAGCTTTATGATAATGAGAATGAGATTTACATTTCTTACGTGCTATTGCCTTATTTAAAGCTCTATGGTTTTCTTTTAACACATTTTATTTGCTTACCTGCGTTGTTCTGCTCTGCTGTCAGTACTGGTCTGCTGTTATATACTTCAGAGAGATTAATACTTATGTTAATGTGATGATCCTATTGAGTGAAATAGGAAATTACCAATATTTAATGATGTTAGAGTCTTAAAGACATACAGTAAATCACCAAAAACATATAATTTATTCGACTTCATGTCTCATTCCAAACCTGTGTGACTTGGTTTCTCATATGAAATACAAAAGGACGTAGTATGTAAAATGTCAACATTGATTTCCTCTCAATTAAAGTGCAGATTTGTGCTCCAGAATGAGAAAAAGTAGTTCAAACAACTTGTGATCTATTTTCTAAATATTCTGCAGCCATACTTTAGTTAATTTATATAATTATTCACTAAAAATATCCCTCTTGGCTATTGAAACTTATTTGCGCTATATATTCTTATTCAAATATGCATATGCATGTTAAAATTTGGATCAGCATGTTTGATCGCATGTGAGAACCAATAGCATTTGGCATCACTAATTTGTGCATTGCACATTTGAATATTGCGCCAGAATGATTATTATGGCACATTGTATAGAAAACACTGATTTAAACAGGATGATTAAAAATATCTTCTTTTGTGACAATCATACAGGTTTACAACAACACAAGGGTGAGTTCAAGATGACAGAATTAAAATTTTTGAATAAGCGAACCCTTTAAACACTTTCAGTTTACTACAAAGGATAAAGAGGAACTGTTTTACATTATTGAGGATTAGAAATGGCACTTGCATATTTTTTAGGAGAACGTAACAGATTATTAAAGCCAAAAGTTACTGTCCAAAGAAATCTTGCTGACAGACCACAAAACTGGCAAAAGATGTTTCAGTTCCTGTAACTTTCCATTAGGTCTATGGCAGTTAAACTAGAGGAGAGTGATTTAAAAAAAAAAGAAAGAAATGTTTTTTATCTAGTTAAACTGGTTAAAAGAGAAACAATGGATTAATGAAGATGGCTGATTTGGGTATTGTTACTTATTGTTTATTGTCATTTTTTTTTTCCCTCTAAGCATCTTTGTTTTAGACCATAAAGCTCCAAAACTAGTTCCCTGGTGTGTTGATATGTGTGTATTCATTCATAGAGATGGAAAGGAAACTACAGATTGAACAGTCAGTTAATCTCATTTCACAAGGTGTTACGGGCTGTAAATATATATATATATTGCTTATGGAGTTCTATTTTTATAATTTAATGGGCAAATAAATGGTCCTGAATAATCCTTGTTCTGCAGTGGGTTTCTTTATTTTATGCAGTTGCAATGCTGCATTGACACAGAGGGAGTTGCTGATTTTATCTGTTGCATTGTTGTAACAAGTGAACCTGAGCTGAGGACCGTGTGTGTGAATTGGAGGTTGTAAGAGAGAAAGATATTTGTTTCAAGCTACGGTTTACCTGCCGGCAGTGTTTCCGAGCATCAGAGCTGACTGAGCGAGGGCTCTGTGATTTGGTGCCCTGGGGAGACACAGCTGTGTGTTACAGCACCAGACTGGAATCCTTCTCTGGCTCCTGTTCGTTTCCTTGTATTTGTGTGTGGAAACATAGTGAACCCCCTCCCCAGCACTAGATCCAGAGAAATCAGGAGCTCCCCGAAGCCGCACGACATCGTTTAATGACCTCAGAAGAATCATCTGGGAAAGAATTCCTGTTCAAGAAGGAAAAATGCATTTGGATTGTGCTCATTTTCCACACAGGGATTGAGACGGGGAAGCGGTGGGTGGGGTTATACAAGTCTGAACTATGTGTCATGGACCAAACTGGTTCTGGTTTTGTTCAGGGTGTAAATGTTTGATTCATGACTCCATTGTGAAGATTTTGCTCAAAACTCATATTTTCCCTTCTGGGAAGAGGGCTGTTTAACAAGCTCCTCATTTAAAGTGCTTTCTGATGGTGCTTAGTACAAAAAGCTGAACAATTTTATTTATTTTTTTTTTTCTGCTTGCAGGGTCCAGTAAAGCTCAAGTATGACAGAACTGTTCCCCCGACACCTGCTGTTAAAAGCTGTTTCTAGGGAAACTCAGAGGTAATGAAAAATAAACATCACCCCAGGACAGACTGTCGGGACTGGACGCTGAATCTGAAGAGCCCTCATGCTCTGCTTTCAAATGTCAACAGCATTTTCTTTCTTTATGCCAGGAGATTGTGTTTGCGAGCAGACTGGCACAAAATCAAGAGCTGACACTGGAATTATTAATTTGAGCAAGAATAGATGTCAAAGCCAGTGTTTGCATCTGTTCTTTTCACAATACAACAATTCTTATGGTATTACCATGTGTATTATTTTATCTCCCGGAGTAAATACAATGTCTTTAATAACACTGAAAAATGGTGTAGGATTTATTTCTAAACAATTGTCACTCAGAAATTGCTAGTAAATTTCACAAATAATTACAGTACCACATTAATGTGAAATTATGAGACTAAGACAGTATTTTCTTTCAAAACATGCTCCAATAAACTTTTAATTTACAACGTGTAAAAACTTTTTTTTACAGTATTTACAATGTTTCAATATCGAAGAAGGCATTGGTATCTCAGGGGTTTTAAGATGTAAAAAAAAAACGTAAAAAAGTAATAATAATAATATGGTATTACCATGTGTATTATTTTATCTCCCGGAGTAAATACAATGTCTTTAATAACACTGAAAAATGGTGTAGGATTTATTTCTAAACAATTGTCACTCAGAAATTGCTAGTAAATTTCACAAATAATTACAGTACCACATTAATGTGAAATTATGAGACTAAGACAGTATTTTCTTTCAAAACATGCTCCAATAAACTTTTAATTTACAACGTGTAAAAACTTTTTTTTACAGTATTTACAATGTTTCAGTATCGAAGAAGGCATTGGTATCTCGGGTTTTAAGATGTAAAAAAAAAACGTAAAAAAGTAATAATAATAATTCATTTTATTTAATGGCGCCTTTCTAAACACCCAAGGTCACCTTACAGCAAAGTAAAAACAGTAAAAATAAACAAGTCCTGCCAGCATTACAAAATTCAACAGCACAACTGCATATATCATGAATACAATAAAGGCTTACAAGAGCAATAATAAGAGCAATTAATAAGAGCAAGTCATAAGAAAGCCTGGGTAAAAAGATAAGTCTTAAGACGAGATTTAAAAGTATGAAGGCTGTCACTGTTCCGTATATTGGGGGGAAGAGAGTTCCACAGGCGAGGGGCCGCAAAACTAAAAGTTCTTGCTCCCATGGTGCTTAAACATATACGCGGCTACACAAGAGAGATCGAGTGTGAAGATCTGAGAATGCAAGAAGGAGTATAGATGTGGAGAAGGTCCGTAAAATTTTAAAATCAATGCGATACTTTACTGGGAGCCAGTGTAAATGTTGGCGAACTGGAGAAATGTGCTCTATTGATGAAGTCCTAGAAAGAACATGAGCTGCTGAGTTCTGAACCAATTGAAGTTTATAGAGAAGTTTAGAAGGAAGACCAGTAAGGAGAGCAATACAATAGTCGATACGTGAGGTAACCAGTGCATGAATAATAATTGCATCTGAGAGTGCAAGGAGGAGTATAGATGTGGAGAAGGTCAGTAAGATACGGTGGAGCAAGGTTGTGAAGTGCCTTCAATGTGAGAAGCAAAATTTTAAAATCAATGCGATACTTTACTGGGAGCCAGTGTAAACGTTGGAGAACTGGAGAAATGTGCTCTATTGATGAAGTCCTAGAAAGAGCATGAGCTGCGGAGTCCTGAACCAATTGGAGTTTATAAAGAAGTTTAGAAGGAAGACCAGTAAGGAGAGCATTACAATAGTCGATATGTGAGGTAACCAGTGCATGAATAAGAATTGCAGTATTATTCATTGTGAGAGAGGCATGAAGGCGATTAATGTTACACAGGTGAAAATACGCAGTATGCGTAATATTACTGACATGAAATGGATACCATATTTCCTGAGAATATAGCCAATAGGAAGTAAATAGATGATGAATAAGAGTGGGCCCAAAACAGGACCCTGAGGGACACCAGTAGTAACTGTAGATGATTTGATCTGATAGATGATCTGTAGATGATAAGAACATTTTTAATTTGAACATACTGAGTGCGACCGATAAGATAAGACCTAAACCAGGAAAGTGGGGTGCCAGTAATCCCTATTGAAACTAACCTGTCCAGGAGTATCTTGTGCGAGATCGTGTCAAAGGCCGCACTCAGGTCAAGAAGGACAAGTATTGTTAACAAACCAGAATCAGCTGCCAATAACAAATCATTAGTAATTTTGACAAGAGCAGTCTCTGTACTATGATGAGGACGAAAACCGGATTGGAATTGCTCAAACAGTGTATTATTGGAGAGATGATTGTGAACTTGAGCTGCAACACATTTTTCCAAGATTTTAGAAATGAATGGCAAATTAGAAATTGGTCGATAATTTAAAAGGCATTGGTATCTCAGGGGTTTTAAAATGTGAAAAAAAACGTAAAAAAGTACATACACTACTTCTGTCATAGACCTACATATTAAATGTATATCACAAATATATATATATTTAAAAAAAAAAATCTTTAAGAGCATTTGCCTTGCTACAATATTTTTAGTTTCGCTAGACGAACCCCGAGACAGACACTCGCTGCATAATTTGTGCTACTTTTTTTTTTTGAAAGTACTGTTTTTTTTTTGTTTGCAAGAGTCAAACATACGTCCATGGCTGTTGCACTGGGATCTGAAGACTGCTTGTCAAAGTTAAACTTAAAAAAAAAACGTTCCGGTTTATTTTGGAACGCTGAACGCGTCCTTTGTGAACGCCCCCTTGAGTCTACGCGTGCTATCAATCTTGCGTGTGTGTTTTACTCGAGATTAATGTGTTGTATGATGATGAGGAGGGAGGATTCAGTTCTCAGAGCAGCTCATTCTCTCTTTCTGTAAACGCAGCTCTCTCTCTCTCTCTCTCTCTCTCTCTTTCCCCCTCTCTCTCTTCTGTACAGTGCAGGTTTGTTCCAGTGGAAATATTTCGTGTTTCAGTGCATCGCTGACGAATCTATTCTGGATATTTTCTGCATCACTTTTGCGTGAATTATTTGTAAACATGAAAGTTTGGGTCAGTCTCTTCGTGTTTATGTTGGTCTGGTTCGCAGAGAGCGCACAGAAACAAGACGTACCGGGTAATTATTCAGATTATTTTTTTTTTTAAATATATATAACTTTCATAATTAGCTACACTGACCTCTCTCAGGTAGTTATCAGTTAATATTCTTTATCTTTCCTATATATCGGCCTATATATTTTAAAGTCATTTAATTTCTTTGTTTTTAATTCGCGTTCACTCTTTTGCTGTCTTTAATTTGTATTCACTCTGTTTTGAGAAAGTTTGAGAACATCCTACCTCGTCCCTTTTCATTAAAGCTCTTATAGAAGAAGAGTCAGGGGACATGATTAGATTAGGTTATTCGAGGAGATTGTAGTAGCTACTAGTAGGCTATAGTAAATTCCTCATTCACTCACTCTGTTTTTTTTCTTTTCAATGAATCAGTTGACCCATTTCAAAAACCTAGTCTAAATGATTAATTCACAAATAGGTCTGATCCAGTTCTCCAGTTCAACTCACTGACTTTTGATCGATTTTACTCACTTAAAATTTAACAGTTTTATTTAACCAACCAAATAACTTAAGAACAAGATGGACTGGGAAGGAATGAAAACTATTAAGAATAATTACAAATAAATGCCACGGATTACATCAGAATAATGATACATAATAGACATGATGTATTAGAAAAGACATCAATTCTAAAAAGCTTGCTAAGATAAAATAATGGAATTATTCGCCATTATTGAAAAAACAGAATTGTTGGACTTTACTGTGCAAGAGTCATATGGACTGCTTTTGTGGGGCTTTTATTGCTTTTCATTTTATTGGTCATTTTGGTTGTTATTAGATTTTGACAGCTGTGGTCACTATAAACTCTCACTGTACAAAAAAAACGAGTGAAACATTTCTACATTCTTGGAAAAATAACAGTATATGCATTTGGAACAACATGACATTATTCATTCACTGTTCCATTATTTCTCGCTGTCTCTGTTTCGCTCTCTCAGTGATAGACGTGTTGAGTTTGGAGGATGTGAAGCAGACCGTGGCTGCTGTGGAGAAGATCTCTTTAGCTCTGAAGACTCTCAGTGATGTGTATGTGATGTCTTCCTTCCGTCTGCCTCCTAAACTGGGTGGAGTTCTGCTGGGCCTCTACAACAAGCAGGATAACAAGAAATACCTGGAGGTTGCCATCATGAGCAAGATTAACAAAGGTAATGACCTTTTTCTGTAATCTATAATCAGAATCAACTTGCTTTTTCTCTGAAACAGCTTTTCTTTTCTGTTGACTTCACTGCATATGCTGTTGTATAATGTTGACCAACAGCCAATAGCATGTTGCTGGTTGTTTCAACATACTTACATTCAGATTTGGCTCCATTTTGATATGGAATGCCCATCAAATCATTTTTGAAATAAATAAAATCAAGTCCTGCCCTACATTTTCTTATTGAATATTCTTTTTCACTTGTAAATACATCACATCACAGAGATCAAATGGGTTGCGGATTTGGTGTCTCCTCAGAACATCTCTAAAAGGTTTGTTTTACTCTAGTTCTGGTCCGGTATGTTCGTGAAGATGGGAAGCTGCACACAGTAAACCTGCAGAGCCCAAATCTGGCAGACGGACGGTCTCAGTCTGTTATTCTCCGTGTCGGTGGCCTGCGCAGAGAGTACCTGAGCCTCGAGCTCTATGTGAACTGTCGTCTGGCTGACTCTGCCCAGCGGCTGCCCCTATTGGTCGCTCTGCCCAGAGATGCAGAGCTGGTGGAGATTCGTAATGGCCACAAGGCATACACTCGGATGCAGGTGAGACCAACATAATATGACCTTGATAATATGAGTTTCACAACACCTGCACTACCATTCAAAAGTTTGGGCTCTGTATTATTTTGTAATGTTTTTTAAAGTTTCTTATGCCAGTGCTGCATTTATTTGATCAAACATTCAGTTTAAAAAATTGTGAAATATTCTCATATTTTAATATTTAAATAAGAGGAATAGTGCTCAAGAAATATATTATCAATACAAACAGTTGTGCTGTATAATATTTTTGTGGAAACTGTGATACTTTTTTTCGTTGATAAATGAAGTCCAAAAGAACATAATTTATTTGAAATATTTTGTAATAATGTAAAAGCCTTTACTATTTTGACCGATTTAATGCATTTCTTGCTGAATAAAAATATACATTTCTTTAAAAAAATCTTACTGGCCCCAGATTTTTGGACAGTAGTGTGTA